CCGCCGCGTCTAGTGATCGCTGTCACGACAGGGAGAATTATATCCACGATTCCTCCGTGATAAATCAGCTATTTACCTCGTTAACTTTCGCACGATGACTCGGCTCCTTTTTTTCCTTACAGACGCACTGTTTACTGTTTCTTTTTTCTTTTTACTATCGTGTCTGCTGACTTTTTGCTCGAGACTATTTATACGTGTCTGATGTTCGCTCAACGTACGATCGTTTTTCTTCGGATCACGAGCTTCCTTCTGGACGTTTTGTGGGATATCCGTGCGAATCTTATCTTGTTATTATTTTTTTAACGTGTGATTTTTAAAATGATCACGAAGGAAAAGTTTACAACTTCTCTGGACAAAAGCTGATCGAGTACACGAAGTCATTCGAATGTCAAAGCAAAATTTCTACTCGTAAATAACAAATAAAACGGGCAAGCGCGCTCGGCGACCTACTTTCGTTGAGCGTGCGATAAAGTGCGCGAGGAAAAATTCGAACGGTTTTTTTCAACGAAAACTTCGCAGCATCCCCGGCCGGCGTTTAAAACGACTTAGCCTTCGCGCTCTCGCAAACTTCTCGGAAAAATCTACTTTCCATTCAGCGTGCAGTGCGAACTGCTGAAAAATTACAATGTTATAATTCTAAAGAAGAAAAAAAAATTTCCCTCTCGACAAGTCCAACCTCGAAACGCGAGGGCAAGAACTTTTAGCGAAACGCCTAACAGTACATATACAATTTTCGCCTGCGCAAGCACGCGAAATGCCCTTATCGTTTACATTTGTTTTTCTTTTATGAGTGTGTACGTGCGTATGTGTGTGTCTATATGTGTGTGTGTGAAACAGAACTCAACGAACGTTCTCACCTTTGTACCCTTGCTTGCGAACTTCCATTTTACCGATATTGTATCTCGTTTTCTTTTTTTTTTTCATAAAAAAGTCGTCTCTTTACCAAACAGCTTCAAAAGATATTTAGCTTTAGTTTGATAACTTATTAATTTTAGCTCTGAAAGTAAAAATAATTAGTTCCTGAAAAAAAGATAATGTTTTTACTTGAAAAGGATTAAAATTTCTCATACGGGCACTTTTTCTCTGAATGAACCGTAGAAATAAAATCTCTAAAAAATAAATCACACAATCTTAAATAAATACACACAGATTTATGCATATTTTGATAAAGAAAAAGCTCCCATAGTGATGTAACTAGATTAAACGATTAATTCTTGTGAGATTAATATGCAATTGTATCTGTGTTCATTACTTTGATCCTATCGTTTCATCCTCATCTTTTTTCATCAGCCAATTTATTTAGTTTTTTCCTCCTTTGGCACGAGATTTTCTTTCTTACAGTCACGTACTGTCTTGAATTCCGAACGTTTTTCTTCATCGCCGCCGTGCATTTACTAAAATGCTACAGCTAAGCGCGTTTCATTTTATTTGTTTTATTTTTCTTTGCGAAGTTTTCCCATGCCTTTTTTTTATTCACAAGTTTCTTGTTCTGGAATTTGGATTGGGTTCAACGGCTTCACTGTATTCGATGTTCTAATAGTATACCATTTTTGAGTGAACATCTGATTTTGATTAGAAATATAATTACATTACATACCGTGAAGTGCAACAAAAAGTACAGAAAATCGTTTGTAACGTTCTAACAATCGCCAATCCGTCTCAACCATTGTCAAGTGCATCCGCAATTGTTTAACCTCGCAGTTGTAAAAACAAACAACAAAGGATTCACGACGACGAGTGGATCAGTGAGGTGAGAAATGTTTTTTGAAGGTCAACGGGTGAAGATGCGCCAAGGCGATAGCCCGAGCAGCCCGACAAAGACGCTACGTGACCACTTGACTCTTACTTTATACCCGCGAGTAGCGTCCTCGCCACCTGTGAAGGTCCTGCTTACATCCGCCAAATTTCTTCCCTTCCGCTTTTGTCAATTTCAAGAACAACTTTTAGACGCTTATTGGACGATTTAAGGCTCGCTCGCCTGACCGTATTCATTTATTTCTACTGAAATATTTGGAGTCGTTATTTTGACATCGAATTCGAAGGTAAAGCTTTCCTTATATTTACAAAAATATCACATGTTAGTTTGTAATATAGATCTCTTTTCGTGCTTGCAATGTCTACTCGCAGCTAAACTTTATTTCAATTAAAACGTTGCACGTGGTCAAACAATATTCCTCGACGCTAGCTACTCTACTGTATATTGCTTTAAAATCTTAATTGAATTTCCCAAAATTCTCATATGAAATTCTAAGTAGAATTTAAATAGTTATTTCGTTTTGACAATATCACTAGAGATAACAATGTAACGGTTACTCAGAAAAGAAAAACGTGGAAACTATTAATACCTATAAAACGTTTTTTCCTAGTACAAACCACCCAACAAAAATGCTCGTCGTGTAGAAAAGAAAAAACGAGAGCGTTGAGAAAATTAGCGCGCGCGCAGAAGACGACGATGACGACGACGAATAAAAGAAGCACAGAAGAGGTTTTCCGAGTGTGACCCTCGAGAAAGCCGAGACTACACACTGCGCGCGCGTGCGTGTGTGTGTGCAAGTCCGGAAGCGGAGATTTTGCGCTTGGCCGAGTGTGCGAAAACTCGTAGAGCGATTATGTGGATTGCCCGGCAAGGACAGCCAGTTATTACATTTGGCTTTGCTCGTTGCCGTCCGTACATTCTCAATCGCGTGTGCGTGATTGGGATTTCAGTTGACGTTTATGAAAATTTCAAAATCCTCGCGGTGCCGTTGAGATTTGGATTATTAAACCCTTCGTCGTGATCTGGCAGGGTGATTAAAGCTTAGCGACGGGAAGTCGCTGTTAGCATCATCTTCAAAGCGAATCTATACTCGAGCAACTTGGGCAAGATCGCAGCTCCGCGCCCTATCGACATATCAAGAAAACTGTTCGCCTACTCGGCGTGAAATAGCGCGCGCGCGCATACTGAACATTTGACTATCGCAGCGGGAGAAAATCCGATCCAGCATCGCGTAGACAAATCAGCAAGACGCGCGTACGTTCGCGTATAAATTTTCTATCGCGCACCTGGTTCGCGCGCGCGCGCGTATGTGAGAGAAAGAGACGCGCGAGAAAACTTTTCCACGGTGGGGGAGATAAAAATGAAGGGGAAAAAATTTGATTTAAACTCGATTTCGCGAGATGCCGAACAAATCAGCTGCTCGCTTCTTCGCTCGATCAATCAAGCATCACTTCAAGAAATACTCCATACTCCGAGATATACCTCTGAAATAATAGAGCGGAGATGTAACAATTACATTCTCTATCTATTTTTCTCAATTTGGGGTATTGACAGGCAGCGTAATTTCTTTTTCCGGTATTTGATTGTTTCACCGTTCATTTCTCATTTTGATCTGACCAAAATTTTTGCATTTCATGAAACACGCGACATAGTTCTATTTTCATTCGTTATTTATTTGGCATGGGAAACCCAACAGATTTAAACCGAACTTTTTTATTTTATTCTCTTTATTTACATACACTTTTATTTGCTATCGAACGGTTTTCTAGAGTGCACTTCAGTGCTTTTAATTGAATTGTTTTTTAATTGAAAATTGATTTTGTGTAACGGCAAGTGAAAATAAACGAACAAAAGCCTCTTCGACTTTTCCACCGACAACTAGCTCCATGACCATTTTCGAATAATATTTTGTACTTTCTGCGATTGACAGCTTCTAACAGACGCTTTAGACACGATAACGGGCACTAACCGTGGTTGCCCATCGCGGGTGAAATGGAATTCATTTGGCGAGCAAGTAGACGGCCTCCATGCAGAGCGCGCGCGCAGACAGTATCTCTCTAGCTACCGCGGCTCACTATAGCACGAAAGGTCGTGCCAGAGTGGCGCTACTTACGCTAGAGCGAGGATGCTAACTCACGAGACCCTCTAATTTGGCTCGTCCCCGAGAAATTGTCCTATCCGCGAGCGCACAAGCCTGAGAGAAAGCTTTAGTGGTGCAGCCGAGTGGGAACGCGTTTCTAAGTATTTAAATGGTCTGGCATCCTCCACGAATCACGTTGGTACTTTTGTGCGTGTTTTTATTCAAAGTGAACTTCGAGGATGATTAACTGACGACGGAAATGACCCAATACAGTGTCTGACTATTTGTTGATTCGACTACAGAATTTATTATCTATTATGACTTCATAGCAGAACTATGGCTCAAAATTACTTTCAAAACACGAAATCAATATCTTTTTTAAATTTAAAGTAATTTCAAATTCACTGGATCAATTTGTAAAACCCGGATACACGTAAACAACGATTAGCAATTTTCCAATTTGGCTATTGCGATTTATCTGCGCGAAAAAACGTGTTATGACGTAGGTGAGAGTAAATAGCGATTGAATATCGTTCACTTTTATTTTCAATGTATCAAAAGCATTTCGCGTACTTCCATCCGAATAAATATTGAGTCTGAAAAAAACGAAGTGCTCAACAAATAAAAATAAAGTGTTTAATGCAATAAAGCACGCGTTCACCTAAACTTCGCACAGAGAAACTGTTTGATAAAAACAAAGAATAACCAAGTTGAGTCGAAGCGAGCAGACCCATTCGGCATTGATTTTATTCTTTCGCTGAAAGTTGTGCGTTTGTTCCTCTCCATTCTTTTCCTAGTACGACTGCGAATCTGATGTTAAACTTGAGCAAGCACAATGAGATTAGCACCGAATGCAAACTTCCTAGTAAAGGAAAGAGAGGAAGGGAGAGAGCCGGCAGAAACCTGCACAGTTCGGTCAACTTGATTCGGCCGTGTGTTTCGGACCATCCACGCGCTAAACTTACTCCGCAGTTGCGCATTTTGGTTTCCGGCTGACGACGACTCTTGAACTCACTGTTACGACTTGTGGCCAAACAAAGTGTAACTGAGGCATTGAATTTTACAAAAGCTATCGTGGACTCGCACATAATTTGTACTTAACATTTTTCAATATATTTATTTTTTTATTTATTTCATTACGATGATCGACAAAATATATACATTTTCAAATTCGAGATGATTATTACAAAAGGCGCATTTACAATAACATTAACAAATTAAGACGTTGTACCAAACTCAATTAATATTATAAAAATAGTTCTAACAGAAAAATCATTTTTTGATAAACGATAATTATTTATTATACAAAAATACACAGAATCCTATAGATGCATTCCATTTTTTTTCAAGCATTAATTTCTTAACTATTGTATTTCGTATACCGTATTGCAAAATCATAAAGTATAACTCACAATCAGATTCCAAAAAAGTAAAAACTACTCAAAATTTATAAAATCTACTCATAATTTATAAAATCTACTCAAAATAATATGTATATAGATAAGATAAATAAGAATAATATAGATTTGTGGTTGGTAGGAAGTTGGACAATTATATCTTACATCACTTTTATTCTAAAATCTTACATTATAAACAAGGGACTGGAAAAAACAAACTAGAAAACTAAGATTATTCATTACAGTAACAATTTCTTATTTCCTGTAACGTCGCAAAATAAGATTACATGTATTACACGTTAATGTTATGAAAATTATTTATTTATTTAATACGAAGTTTATTAAAAATTATATCTAATAATAAAAATACTAGTCTACAAAGAATTAATTAATTAACTACCTTAAACCTATTTTCTACAAGAAAAGATAATAAAATTAATCTAAACTTAAATATAAATTTCAAATCAGTATAAACATAAATTTTAGCTCACAAACACATTCCAAAAGAAAATGTGGAAAATTCATCACCAATAATTTCCCCTTTACCAGGATAGTCAAGGACTACGCAGATTCCATTGCAGGAATTATTGTCATGTACACCGGCGCACGAGTCAGAACCATCATTTAATGATAACTTTATATGTTCTTAGTTTTATTAAAGATCAGAACATTTTTCATTCTCAAGATCAGGACTAGGAACATATAGACTTTCAAATAACAGCATCAATTACCCCATTCGTCTCTGATACGATAGTATATTCCCTGTTGCTATTTGTAGAGTAACTTAGAAAATCGAACTAACTTACACGGACAAACACCTAATTCTCTTGACTTTATTAGTTGATGAACAGTTAATTTTAATATAACTTCGATATCGAATTCTACGATTTAAAATAAATTTGCGTTCTATTAAGTTTAGCATCAAATATTAACTAAAAATAACAATATCAAAATTAACAATTGTGCTTAAATCATTTTTTACAGAGTATCGTTATTAATAATATATAAAGCAGCCGTGATTATCAACAATTTTAAATATTCGATTGTACTGTCAAATATGTGACAGGGCTGATAGCGATGTTCGCTAGCCCTGTGCGCGGCACTCTCCTCGCACGGATGTAGCGGCCGAGCGTGGCTATGGTTGACATAGCATTCACGCGCTCGTGTCGTTGCAGGGCCTGGAGAGGGGAGAGCGCGGACGGCGGAGAAGACGGTGCGAGAAGGAGCGAGATCGCGAAGAGCGTGAGAGAGAGCGAGAGAGGAAGAGGAATGGGCGAGAACGCGGAAAGCGCGGCTCGCGCCGCGAGAATTAAGAGAGCGGCAGATATTGAGGACAGTTGGAGAGTGACCGTACGCTAATGAAGTCACGGCGCGAGAGAAGTTAGAGAAGTCTAAGCAGAATAAAATTCGTATTTTTGTTGATGTAACTACCATTAATCCCTAAAACAATGAAGCCTTTAAAATCTAAACAAAAAATCAAGAAGGGAAAACAAAGTGAAGAAGATGCTGATTCTGACGTTGAGGAAAAGTCGAAGAAGGGAGAAGAGGATAATACTATTTACCTGAAAAAGAATGAGAATCCTAAACGCAAGAAGAAAAATGAAGTTAAAGCTAAAGTTCTAGATTCTGAGTCTGAAGAAAACAGTGACGATGAAAGTATCTTAAGTAATAAACCTAAGAATAAAACTAAGGTAAAGTTAAAAGATAAGCCAGTTAAGGAGGTTAATCAGCGTGGTGAATTGGAAGATGCTATTGATACTGTAGATAGAATAAATAATGATTTGGATAAGTTTACTGGATTAGCGAAAACTTTAACAGAGAAGGAAATGAAGGCAAGAGAGATTGAAGAGGCTGGGAAGGAGATAAAAACTACTATGTTACCGTTAAACGAATGGACTGATACTTCTATTTTGGGTAATGTTCAACCCTTTAAAATTGTGAATAAGATACCACATATCTTAACAATGGTTAGAACTTCCTCTGTAACTGATGATCCTACATTAATAGAGTCGCTTTTATCTGGAAAAGAAACTAACGAACTAATAACTAAGTCATGTGATATGTTTAAATCAGGAACATCTTGTGTTAAATATGTTATTGACTCTTTGGATACTTTTGCTCCCTTGAGATATGACCCCGAAGGGTTTAACGAGACATCTTTGCAGTTAAAGCATTTTAGCGTAACTGGTGATGGTGATGCGAGTATTAATGATGCTGAAGCTAGAACTAAAGCTTATTGTGCATTGTTGGAATTAATATTAAAATTGCGTTCTCAGGGTAACGTTATTATTCAAAGTCCTACAGTAACGACAATCGCTAATTTTGGTGTGCTTAATGGCCCAATTAACTTATTAGCTGGAAAGAATGTGCCTACAGGAATGATGCCACATTTATTGTTAGGAGTATATGCTTATACTGCGATGTGGTTTAGAAATGAGGTGACCAATTTAATTAGTGAAGATGACGTTGTTATTGGTGAATATGATTCTATTGTGCAACCCGCCGGCACCAATGCAAAGAAAAGATCAAATTATGGCGTTATCACTGATCACGTTTTTGCTTCTTTGAATCGAGTTATGATTAATCAACATGATAGTAAGAGAGCTAATGCATTTGACTATGTTCAAAACCTCAAGTATTTATTATTATATAAATGTAGTATTGAATTGGTCGGAGAGGCTGAGGCAGATATCTGGGATATATATAATCCCAACAATGATGACGCTCAAAAATATATTTTTGTATTTTTGTTATCTCCTAGAGTTCGGCAATACCAATATCAGTATTTATCAAAATTTTTACATAAGATGAAAGGCATCAGGGAAATTTCCGCTGCTGATCGTTTGATGAATGAGAGGCAATCACCCGAGGTTGTTGGTATTCGGAGTATATTGGAGGAATCATTAAATAGGAAAGTTAGAGGATATTCTTTAGGTCATTGGTATCAAGCTATGGTAATGGAGAGAGCCCATGCTTTTATTAGTCCTTCAGCATATCCAAAGGTTGAGTATACTACTATTCAGGACGCAATTTTTGATTTGTTGGCATTTGCATTAGATGCTTTAACGTTTCCAAACACTTTCTGGTCCAACCTTCATATTTATGGATATGTATTATATAAAGCCTGGCAGTATATAAGACCTAGAGAATTTTAGCAACTTATTGCTAATGGTTATACTAGGAGCTGTAGATACGTCAAGAAGCTTTCACGCGAGGAATTGATGGAAGGAGAGATTCCAAGAGTTTTTGAACAAAGATTTGTAAATCCGTCTGTTAGGATGAGAGAGTTTTTAAGTTTAATAGCTCCTGTTGGTTATTTATATACTATTGACGTTTCTAATGCTCTTTGGGCCCCTTTTATTGATATTGATAGTCAATTTTACATTCCGTTTACGAGGGAACCTCGACCCAAAATGTCTTCTGCTACGAGTACTCCGCTTTCCTAAAGAATCGATGCGATTATTGAGTTATTAAACGTTTTGGTTACTGAGTGGACTAGAAATAATAATCAGGGTAGAAATATGGTTAGTCCTTTAACTAATCTGTTGTTAGCTATGCGAACTTGGGCTTTAGTGTTTAGTTCCATCTGTCATTATGAGGTTCAATTATTATATAGAAATTTAGCTAACGGGCCTGAGATTATCGCTACTACTTATAGAGGTGCTTCTAGTCCCAATGTGAATGATTTCTTTGGACTCTGTTCTAATATCGCAGATCCCCGTTCAGGACTTCCTGCAAGAGACGCTTCTACTTCTATTTGTTTTGGAATTGGATTATGGGGGATGATGAGTCTAGGTGGTGACGGAATAAGTATAATTGGTGATACAAGTTCTAAAAATAATAGTTCCTTTCACTTTCCAAATCCTGTTGATAGATATAATGATTTTGTTGACTTGACTAGAAAAGCCGCGACTGTCTTTGACGCTTTTGCTATTATGTCTTATTTGATTGATGCTAATGATGATCCTGATAGTAACTTGTCATTCTTGAATCAAGTATTTGGATTATCGTTGAAGGCCGGTGTTGCTACACAAATATTAGATTGGTTATTAAACGGTGTGAGTGTGCAAGAATTAGTTAGTGAGCGAAGAGCTCCTGGAGAAAAAGCTTTGTATGTTGACTTGAGGCTAACTAATCCTAAGATTTGTGCTGTAACTTCAAAGGGGCATGTTCGTACTAATCCACTTGTTAGAAATCCTTATAGGGATGAGCAGTTGCAGCTTATGGACCGATTTGAAAAGGAAAAATTAAATATTGCTTTAAATGTTGTTGTCAGTGCCAACAGTCCTTTGCATGGGTATAATCAAGTAGTAGTGATTGCGAGAAGCTTGTTTGATGATTATTCACCTACTAATAGACATCCTGAACCACAAATGATCCTTGAGTATACGTTTACGCCTCCTCTCATGGGTGTTGAGTTAGTCGCTAATGAATTAAAAGTATATATATCCATTGATCGAATAGAACTAACAATTCTATTCATGCTCGCGATTACTCTCGATTGGCATTTTTAAAAGACTCGAATTGAGCGACCAAAAATCCATCGACATTACCCACAGTATCGCTACGTGTACCTAAAAACTGCAAAAATGACTGACGTGGACGTTTCAAATATGAACACGACCCAGATGTTGGCTCTTATTAAAGAGTTAGACTCAAAAGTAGCTAAAGACTCTAAACTTGACAGTTTAAATTTTACTACTCCTCAAGTCATTACTCCCACCTCAGACGCTGATGTGTCCACAAAGACACAGCCAAAGGACAGTATTGCCTTAACCCAAGAAGCTGACCTCAAACCTGAGAAGAAAGAATTACCCGTCATTGCACTTAAAGATCTCATTGCAAAACCATTGATACGTTTTCCACTGAAGAAAGTACCTTTAAGGAACATTTCGACGTTCTCGCCTATTGCGATCAACCTATTTCATGTCATACACGAAATGGACTTACTGATCTCAGAGAATTCCTACTTTAGAAACGATACCTCTATATGGCATCCGTTACTTACCCGCGCCTACTTTAGTGCCTTATTCTATATACAAGGCTTACGTGCCGGACACTATGCTAGGATCTACCCACCCGGCGTCAATGTTATAATTGACCAAATTCTAAAACAGTTACCGCCCGAATCACTCCCGATTCCCGGCCCTTTAGTACCCATGTTCAAAGCTCTTTGCGCTTGCAAACCCAGCAACGACTGTTTTAACCTCGTTACTCCAGCTTTCAACATGACCGAATTTCCAGTTGCAAGAAATGCGATCTTTCCACTTATCGGAAATACGACATTCCTTCAACCACACACCAAGATGTCACTGTCTTTACTGACTACCTTAGCTCACGCTGACGAAGATGAAAGACCTGACTACACCGACATTACCACCATAAGTGAAGGCGAACCCTTCAATCTTCTTGGATATAACTTTCCAGATGAATGGAACCAAATGTGTCGAAACATTGTTTGCTTACCAAACATGACTTACATTCCCGAAACGAATGAAGACATCGACGAAACATTTGCTCTAAATTATGATAATTATGCATTCGACGAACAAGTTGAGCCACTGATTAATAATGACTGGTTTGATTACGTTGGACTCTCCGACGTTACTTGGATACAACAGCTTATTCCTACAATGAGCCTTTACTCTACATATATCCATTGATGGAGAGCATTGGCATTCACCCATTCAGGAAGGATTTCCTCGTGGCGTTTCAAAAACCTTTCACCGGATCAGACAAGAATATTATTGGGAAAATCTAAAAGACGATATACAAAGGCGAATCCAACAGTGTCTAGAATGTCAATTGAAGAAATTAACTCGTTTACAGACCAAACAACCTATGATAATAACTGATACATGTGCTACAGTGTTTGATAAAATTGCTATGGATATTGTAGGCCCTCTAAAAAGAACAATAAAAGGAAACGAATACATTTTAACCTTACAGGATCAATTAAGTAAATTTTGTCTAGCTGTCCCATTAGCAGACACCTTATCATCAACAATAGCGGACGCATTTCTTAAGAAATTCATTTGTGTTTTTGGATGTCCGAAAGCTGTGCTTACTGATCAAGGCAGAAATTTTTTGAGTTCGCTAATGACGCGTATTTCCAAGCGATTCAAAATAAAGAAATTAAAAACCACAGCATTCATGCCTCAGTCGAACGGTTCCCTAGAAAGATCTCATCACGTATTAATTGAGTACTTAAAGCAATATACCGATCTTGACAACGATTGGGATGATTGGCTCGACCTAGCTATTCTAAACTACAATACCTGTGTACAAGAAAGTACCAAACATACGCCGATGCATTATCACGGAATCCGATAGAACCAATTAATGTAAAACATATACGTCAGAATGATAGAGAAATTAAAAATCTAGTTTACTCTTATATTAGCAAACAGACAGGTGAAGAGTTTCAATTCTTAATTAATTCTACTTCCACTACCAATATCATTAAATCCTGTTGTGTACCGGACGATATACCTATCCAAATGTCCAATATCTTACCCATGCAGAGTATTTTTGCTGAAGATGATTACCAAGAATGTGGATTTGTCAAGTTAATAATAGCCGGAAATGAAATAGTATTTTATGTTGTTGCAAATTGTCAAATGCCATATCACGGAATCATAGGTAAAAATTTCTTATACAACACCAGTACGAAGATAAACTATAATAACAATAGCATAAACGAAAGTAACGCAATAAAACCTGTTGTTAGTGATAGTAACATGCAAAAATATAGAAAAATTTATAATTTATATACGCCACTCGTTGACGAAGAACCTCCTTTATTGAATATATATAATCCAAAATACGGATGGACACAGTATATGATTAATAGTTTATCTGAACAGAGTCTAATAAAGGAAAAGTATGCTTTAGGAATTCGTGATGAGACCGATCAAATTGACCTAATAGATATTAATGGTTTAACCCATAGAACTTTAGGATCAATAACATTGAAATTATTTGAGATACCAATGAAATTCCATATTGTACAAAATGACTTTCCTGTAAATTGCGAAGGCATAATGGGATCTGATTTCCTTTTTTCTAGTAAAGCAAGTGTTAATTTTGACACAAAGACAATAAAAATAGGAGACACTTACATTCCTTTTAGAAGACGGAAAATACCAACACAAGAAAATGATAGTTATATATCTGTAATCACCGAAGCAGACAAAACACATCAAATTCCTGAAATAAATGTAGTTACTAGAAGGCAAAGACAACAATTGGAACAGTCATCTAACCCTTTGGTAGTTCAAAAGGAAACTGAAGAAATCAAACCAATAAAACGTCCACGCGGACGACCCCGGAAAATTCCTGATAATAAAAATATTATCCCACACCCAAGAACACCTCCTGTAGAGAAGTTGCCTATACCTGAATCTGTCGAAGTTGTTTCAAAACGTTACCCCGAAAGAACTCGAAATGAGATACCTGATTACGTAGAAAGTGATCTAGACGATAGTGAACTTGAAGCTGAAGCACGAGTTATACCCAAAATACCTGTGCAACCCAATCAGAATCTACCTCACAATATACAAGATCCCGATTCCGAAGAGGACTCAATGAATAATAGTTCGGATGAGTCCGTAAATAACGACAACGATACCGCTAATATAGTTAAGGTTAAAGAAGCCATACATGTACGCAACGACAATGTTGCTTATTTTATAAGCAGCAATGGACAACCTTGTGATGAAGGCGCTCGAAAATTAATAGAAAATAAGAAAATTAATACTAAGGTAATCTTACAAGTGGGTGAAGTCTCAAAAGAAAAGAAGAAGAAGAATTATCATCAATTTGGGCTCTGCATACGAAGAGACCGCCCAGAATCGTTAACTTATATTAAGGATAATATACACATTACTTTAAAAATATTAAGAGATTTACTAATTAATACTAATCAAACTGAAGTCTGTATTGCTCAGAGTAAACATGTAGAAAATTTAAGTTGGTTAGAAATAGAGTATTTATTAGATAGTGTCTTTAGAAATAGTGGAATAAAATTAATAATTTGTACAGATAAGTTAAAGTATGTACCCTTAGAACAACGCGACGGAATCTTTTATGAATTCCATAAATCCCCAATTGGAGGACATCGTGGCGTTAGATGTATTTTAGGTAGTGAACATTGTATAGATTCTGAAGG